TATAGGGGAGGGTTTTAGTGAGTACCCCTCTTAAAATGAGAATCCGTGAGAACCCCTGAGAACCGGTTGTATTTTTGGCTGAAATTTTTTGTGTATGTTCCTCATCAAATCTAGTTCATCCACACCAAATTTTAGCAAAAAATTCAATCGGGAAGGTTGTCAAATGATTTTTGAAAGAAAAGTGGTCCGGAATATACATATAAAATGCAGTTTTCTTTCAAAATCATTTGACTACCTTCCCGACTGAATTTTTTGCTCAAATTTGATATGGATGAACTAGACTTGATGAGGAACATACACAAAACTTTTCAGCCAAAAATACCACTGGTTCTTATTAGGCCCCTCAGACTTTGATAAAATATAGTTTTGATGATGCCATCCTCCCTTAATGTTTAGATTTTCTATTCAATATTGAATGATCATTGTGTAAACTGAAGTATGGTCCAAAAAGGAAGGTGACAAAATTAGGAATGTATAAATTGTGTCACAAATTAATTATACTGGAAATATAAAATGCAATAAGGTAAATCCCTACCTTTCAAGGATATTCAAATCCAATCAGTATATTTATTTTTGTGACACAATTATTATTGTCACTAGTAAAATTGTGACTAATCTTACATGTACATCTTTTGTACCAAATTAATTATACTGGAAATATAAAATGCAATAAGGTAAATCCTTCTTTACCTTAAAAAGGATATTTAAAATCCTACCAATACAAATTAATTTGGTACACAAGGACCAAAGTCACAAATTTACTTGGTAAGCTGTATAATCACGAGACACTCCAGAGTTGCCTGTGAAGACAAAACCCCACTAGATGGTGAATAGTGCGTAAAAGACCTAAGGAATGGGTTTACATTTCCTGCGAAGCAAGTTGATCCAATTGCGTCTGAAGATAAGCTGCTCCAACACAAGAAGACGAAAGTACAAGAAGCCTCAACGACATAGATTAAAACCTCTCAACCAACGCAGGAGATTAATCAACCAGAGATGCCTATAAATTCAGGCATAAGCATGAGAAGAAAAACAAGCTCCTGAGTTCACTAAGCAGAGAAATCATACTACACAAAGAAGATATCCAGCAAAAGAGAAAGTGTTCATTACATTCTGCTCTCTGCTTAGACTCATGCTTCACTAAACCTTCTAGAACAAAAAATCCTCATTGATACACTCAGAAAGTTTAGTTTTTAGTTGGAGGCTAGAAATTTGTTTCATATTGAAACTGTTGTAAACACTTATAAGGATAGCGTCGTCTAAGTCCTTAAGTGTGGTAGAATAGGATAGAGTACCTTTTGATCCCCACTGGATCAATTGAGAAAAACCTAAAGGATTGAGTAGCTAGGAGTGGTGTGTACTCTTAGTGAAACACCTTGAAGTCTGAGCAAGTTAGTGAAAACAGCCAGACGGTCACTAATTGTATTGGGCTGAATACTTTAGTGGAAATCCATCTGAAAGAGGATGGGACTGGATGTAGGAGGATTACACCACCTCTGAACCAGGATACATCTTGTGTCAATCTTATTTTCTCTGATCCAAAATCATCAGAGTACCTCACTGAAGGGTCTCTGATTCAAGATCATCAGAGGACCTCACGCAAGGGTCTCTGACTCGAGATCATCAGAGGATCTCACTCAAGGGTCTCTGATTCAAGATCATCAGAGGACCTCACACAAGGGTCTCTGACTCGAGATCATCAGAGGACCTCACTCAAGGATCTCTGATTCAAGATCATCAGAGGACCTCACACAAGGGTCTCTGACTCGAGATCATCAGAGGATCTCACTCAAGGGTCTCTGATTCAAGATCATCAGAGGACCTCACTGAAGGGAGTCTGACTCAAGGTCATCAGAGGACCTCACTGAAGGGAGTCTGACTCAAGGTCATCAGAGGATCTCACTAAAAGATCTTCAAAGCAGAGCCTCTATTCTACTATACTCTTCAGTCACTAAAGATAAGTTGTCCTAAATACAAATACCTCTTCCCTCTTATCCTCTCATAAGAAAGTTACCATTCACAGTAAAAAAAAAAGGTCAAAACTTCCGCTGCGATCCTAAATCTCTCAAAAGATTTCAGATCATCATACCTATGAGGGAAACTCTTTAAAAGTTGAAAGATCTTTAAAAGTCTTTTCAATACCCCCCCTCTAGACTTTTACCTCTATCAGGGACCATCAGTTCTCAAGGGTTCTCACGGGTTCTCATTTTAAGAGGGGTTCTCACTAGAACCCTCCCCTATATATATATACACTCCCTCCGTCCCACTATGATCGTCCCATTTTACCATTTCGGTCCGTCCCACTAAGATTGTCTCATACCTTATTTGGTAAACTTTGTGTGGTTCTAAATCATTCATACTTTATTCTTACTTTATCAATTCAATATCAACCACATAAACCCACCTTTATTAATAATCGTGTCACTTTCTCTTGTCCCAAACATAGGGGGACGGAGGTAGTATATATATAATTATATACTATAGTATATGGGAACTCTTCCGGTAAGGTATACCTTATTGGAGCCTCCGTGCGGCCTCCACGTTTTGAGGGACTTCCTGGTGGAATTTTTCGATGAAATTTTTTGAGCATGTTTTTCATCAAGTCTAGTACATTCATACCAAATTTTAGCAAAAAACTCAATCGGAAAGGCAGTCCAATGATTTTTCATCTTCCAAAAATTGTTTGACTGCCTTCCCGATTGAATTTTTTTCTGAAATTTGGTATGGATTTACTAGACTTGATGAAGAACATGCTCAAAAAATTTCATCGAAAAATTCCACTGGGAAGGCCCTCAAAACGTGAAGGCCGCACGGCGGCTCCGGTAAGGTATACCTATTATTATTATTAGTATTACTATTATTACTAGTATTACTATTATTATTATTACTATTAATATATGATTATTATTATTAGTATTACTATTATTACTATTACTATTATTACTATTATTACTATTACCTATTATTATTACTAATAATAATATATGATTATTATTATTATTAGTATTACTATTATTACTATTACTATTATTACTATTATTATTATTATTGCTCAATAGAATTTCGAAAATGGCATTCTTTTTATGGTTGAATATAATGTTAAATTAATCAGCTTTATTTAAATTATTTTTCGTTCAAGTTAAAATTACGGAATACTTTTTTTTTTAATAATACTTCGTATATGAAACTGTCATATGTTCATTTTTAATTCTAGTGATGATTGCAGATTTGGAAAAAAGTCATCCCTAAATAATACCTGAATGGTAAATCTGTAAAATCTGTAAGAAATTACGGAGTATTAGTTACGGAGTATTAATTATGGCAGGGCATGTGCGTCGAGGCTGCTCGAAAATAAACTTGCAAAATTCAAAAAGATTTCCTCATGAAAGTAGTTTTATGATATTACGGTATATATACTTGTCGGGGTAATTGAACTTTGCTCCGTAAATACAGCAAGCAAAAAACGAACTTTGGAAATTGTATAAGCAGCTCCAAATTAAAACTTGTTTTTTGTTTAATACTTCGTATATGAGCAACAAAAAATCCCATGTTCAATTCTCAGGATTTGTGTAATAACAATTTTCAAAACGTGCCGAGCTAATAAGTAAAATTATATGGATGTTTTCTTTTGGAATGTTTTCAATCTCAGATCAGATCGGACCAGACCAGACTAGAACAGACCAGACTAGACTTTCATAGTTATAAAATACATAAAGACCAGACATTTACTAGATCAGACCAGATCAGACAAGCAAATATCATTCCAAAAAAACACATCATATATTTGATGCACAAGCCAACCCAATTGTTTGTTTGTTGTTGGGTTAAATAAATTATGTTGATCCGACTTAGGTGGTGCACATGCACATCACTTTGTATAAGTTTCTATCTCAGGATCATCAGATTCCTATTGTTTTCCATGTTAAATCTCAATTGATCAGCAGCTAATATTTATGTACGTTTTGATGGTAGTCCTAAAATTGTCACTGTAAATTTAACTAAAGTTATTATGAGTGTAAAATCATGCATTGTAGTGTTAAAATTGAACATATATAATTACATTAACTCAAAGCTACTGATATAGTAACTAATACATATTTATAAGATGTAACATTATATTTTTGTCTACAATCTTTATTTAGTTATTTTAGTTTTATATTACCTCCGTCCGGAAAAGAAGTTCTCACTTTTCTTTTATAAATGTTCCAAAAAAAAATCTATCAAAGGAAACCACTTCCAACAAAAAAGTCATATCTACTCTTGCATTTTTCACTTTTTGCTTGATTTAACAAAAACAAGGGTATATTTGGAAAATCCAAACAAAACTCTATTTTTTACATAAATATGTGTGTATGTCAAATCAGGAGCTTTATTTCGGGACGGATGAAGTATCACATATGTCATCATTTCATATGTTTTTATTAGGTAAAAATAAAATTGCAATTTAAAACAAGTATTCTGAATAAGCATACAGAGTATTATACGTAGTAAGTAGTATTTACTACGGAGTAATTCCTATTATACCTGAAAATCTGATTTGGGCAGTAAAATATGTATGACATGAATAATATAGTGTACATATTGAATCGCTCAAAGAACTGGACGTCAAAAAGTTTTGAGGCCCAAATATGAAATCACCATAAGGGAAAATCAAGATGGATGACATAGAATATAAATATATAGGAATATAGGATGTACGTACAATATATATATAGCTAGATTCAATTCTAAATCTTTCGTCTCAATTTAAACTTTAATCAATTCCATAGGTTTACTAACTGCTAATTAAATACGGAGTAATACATAAATGCTGTGCGTTAGATCAGAAACGTGAAAGGCAAGGTGTTAAAGCAATGCAGTAATTTAAGTGAAGAAACAAATTAAAGCCCATAAAAGAGGGAGTAAAGTTGAAAAAAGTGTCTACATAAACCACATGCAGATACACAAACACAGCAACATATATACCGAGTCAAGTAATAATTATCATTCATCTATCTATCCACATATATAAATAGTACTAGTAAGTAATTAGTCGTATTTGATCGATCGATATCAATGGCGGCAACCTCCTTGTTTACCAAAAATTTTCTCATTGCTTTCATTCTCCTCTCTCAGAGAAGTAGTGATGCATCAAGGAGCACCTCTTTCTTCAACAATGTGATGTCAAGTAATGAAGAGAAGTCACAAGAAAATGAGGTCAACTTTGGTCAAGAAGTGGTCAGCGCCGCCGCAGTAGTCGCGGAGGGCCACCGCATGGCAACTAGTCCTTTTTCTAAACTGCAGGAGGAGTCCAGCACTGACAGAAGCCTGTCCCGATCCCCACCCCCACCCAAGGGCAACGCTGGCACCCACCCGCGCTACCCCGCCCCTCCGATCCGCCGTGAAAAATCCTACGTGAATGCCGGAGACAGCAAAACGATTCAGCCGGCGGTGGATACCGGCAAAGACAAAAACGGAGGCCCTGGCACGCAGCAGCGCATCCCCACGCTCCGCCGTGAGAAATCCTACGTGAATGGTGGAGAGAGCAATATGCTTCAGGCTGCGGAGGAACAAAAAACACGCTACCAATCCATAGGACCCCGGCAACCCAATCAGGCAGGAGAGGGAAAGCGCTCATTATACCACGTCGGAAAACAGTTTCCTCCCAATTATGCCACTCACATATACCAATGATCGATCGAGTAGAACCATAATTACGCCCTTTAAAGTGAGGAGTAAAATATAGCTGGCTCCCATATTGAATGTCCTGTTTTAGTTTGACACAACTACTAATAAAGTGGTTGAAAAATAAAAATTGTACTTAAAATTTGTTACGGATCCACGAAGGAAATCGGTTAGAGGGCAAAATCTCTTATGCCTTCGACCTTATGCTACTACTATGAAACAAATTTTATGTCACATCGCAAATGATAATACAATCTCCGCTCTTAAATAAATGTAACATGTGGAATTTTATAATATTCACATGTTCTACTTTGACTATATTTTATTTATTAATGTATTAATAATTTATTTTAAAAAATATATTGTTAAATTTGTTTTAACCTAAATTTTCAAAATTAGAATTTTCTAATTTTTTTTACAAAAAGAGAATAAATGATACTAATGGTCAAAATTGTGCATTGACAAACGTGAAAAGTTGACTGTTGCATTTTGATAGATTATTAATCTTAGAGAGAAGTGAAAACTAGAAAGAGAAAGAGAGTAATTAATATTTCTCAACTCCCTACAACTTCCCCCAAGGGGAGTGTTTATAGGGAAAATGTGGGTATGGGCTTTTTACAATTTTTATAAAAACTGGAGCAAGAATGAAAAAGGAATTACTTGCCACATGGCGGCTTTTTATTGGATGTATATCGAAGGTAAAATTGATACGGGCAATCCCCTGAATGGAGCGAGTGTGTAGGTGCGCTAAGCAAGTTTAACTAACGTTTTAATTATAATTAATTTTTATTAATACTCCCTCCGTCCCAATTTGTTTTGTAAAGTCAACATTTTTTAATTAACCAATAATAAAAGTCAACCCTCCCTATGGATAATTAATTCAATTTTTAATAATTAAAATTTGCATATTCAAAAATTACATTAAAATCTCTTCAAAATTGTAAACTACAAATTATAATATAACTAAAAATTGACATCCTAATTAAGTGAACACAACAAGACTGTTTCACTTAGAAAAGTCAAATTTGCAACTCAATTTGGGACAGAGTTAGTAATTAAGAAGGACAAATTTGTCCAGCCATGGTTACGTAAAGCATGCAATTCAGGGGTGCGCAAAGCAACTCCCTAAAAATATTTAATACCCCAAAGTATATAATTTATACTCCTCAAAATAATTTAGCTTTAATATCACTCCAAATAATACATATACGTAACCCAAAATCGTTTGCAACTCAATAATAATTTTGATAGTCGTATTCTCATAATATTATTCTCAAGTATGATATTCCCCATCTTCCTCCCGTATCGAAATGGACCAAGCGAGTATTACTCACTCCATTTTCATTTTGCAAAAAATGGCATTTATTACATTGACTTTTTAAATTGTTGTCGTAATCATTTTGTTGTTGATTCCAGGCGATACGTACGTCGAAGTCAAGGGTTATCTTGCCAATCTCCCTAGCGCCTCTGCCGCGTAGGGTTTTTTAATTTCCTCCCAGGCGGTTCTATCGCGTAGGGTTTTCCTCCCTAGCGGCTTTGCCGTCGTGTAGGATTTTTCTTCCACCAATTGTTTGTGTGATTCTTCTTCTCTAGACTTCTAGATGTTTCTTGATATTTGATTGTTGATTCTGGCTTAGGGATCTAGGTGACTTTCTGATTATCCATTGGATCTTGAAGCAGTGAAAAGATTTCATCTTTGTTTTCTGATCTCTTTTCTCGACTTGTGCAAGTCAATCTTGAAGGAAGAGTGAGTGCAGCAGCAACTTTTGGAAATGAATCCAAGGTCCAACAAAGGATAATTATGACTCCTATGGATGATCTAGAGCAGCGTTGGCTCAGTCCTGCATTTGAGGAGAAAGTTGGATAGTTATTTATTGGCAAATCAGCATGGGTAGAGGGTGGTGTTGGTAGTGGAGGCAGCTTGGGTCAGGGTCGGTCTTGACAATTTTTGGGCCCGGGATAGAACACCGGCAAAAAGCCCCAAATTTTAAAAGTAATGTTAGGTGCATAAAATTAGGTGTTGTTGTCCATAAAAACTGTCCTATTGTAATTCACTAACATTATCAAAATTTTGTTAATTTGATTCCACATCAAAATTATCATTTGAAGAACTTCCTTTTAAAAAAAACTATCCATAACTTTTTTTGAGAATTTATTAACTCGTTTTTTACCTTTATTTTCACACAAATGTTTCTATGGAGCATTTACAGTATTATTATAAGAAAATTATGGCACAATCTGGAGAATTGGAGATTATGGCAGAACCGCAGAAGTCACAAAAGGAATCTAAAAATACATTGATACCAAAGCTTGCAATACTTAAATATTTAATTTCTCATGAAAAGTATAAAAGTATCAACAAACACGTATTTAAAACTAATATAATACCCGTTCTACCAATCAAACAGAATGGCGATTAGCCAAGAGCACTAAATTACCGAAGTGATGATCGATTTTAGCAACAGAACAAATACAACGAAAGCGGAAGGATCTGAAATAGATGTAACTATATAATCGTAGAAACGGAACCGATTTCAAAATGGGATCTTTCAAATTCCTAATTTCTTAATTTCGATTCTCGTGCTTAAGGAAGGTAGAACGTCAATTGCTAGGAGCACTCTAGCAGACGGGTATAACCGTATAACATCTATTCTAAAAAATACAAAAATATAACATACTCTGTATAAAATTTTATGGGCCCCTTATGAATGGTGGGCCCTGGGCAGTGGCCCAGGCTGCCCCTATACCAGCACTGGCCCTGGCTTGGGCGACGAGAAGATGGGGAGAGGCGAAAGGCTAGGCAAGGGAGATAACAGATCGGCGGTTCGCCCCCCTCCTGAACCGTCGCCTTGGAGCGATCAAGTTGCTAGGGTTTGGAAGTTTTATCAGTTATTTAATTTTTCATAGTTTTATTTTTGCGTTATGTTTTATGTTGTTTTTGTTTTGTGTTGATGTCTTTAGTTTTAAGTCTACAATAATGATTGACAATTCTGCTAGATATTATGTCGATGGAATTGAAGGATCTTTATGACCAGTGACTGTTGTGTCACACCCGCTTGTGGTTAGCGATTCCTATTGCACTTTCAGGACTGATCGTCTATGAATCTAGCCGTAGGGTTGATAGTGCTAGTTGGTTAGGAATAATTTCTGTCAGTGATAGTCTTGTTGAATTTGTTGTAACTATCTGAATCCTTATGATATTAATATAAAGCGTTTTGTTTTGATGATCAAAAAGTATTATGTTCCCCAAATATCTATTTTTATTAAAACATCTCAAAATAAGTTTTGGTGGAAACTAATTTGTACTATAACCATATATTCAACATAATAATTTCAAAGAGATAACGAGTCTCATGTACTTTGTATATAACTTAACGAGGTAAAGGTCATATTGGTACTCAAAGTTGTATAAAAAGAGTCAAATAAGTCCTTACTGTCCGGCCATCGCCATTTAGGGCGGTTCTTGGTGGAATTTTTTGATAAATTTTTTTGAGCATTGACGAGCACTTTGTCACGGTGCGTCAAAATAATATTCAATACTAACACTTATACGTAGTATAGGTGAAGTAGAGTTCGTATCCACAGGGGAAGGAATAATTATCTTTTTATGTAACTAGTAAGTAAAGGGGGGGTTTTGATTGAGTGAGTTAATTAAATTAAACACAAAGATGAACAACTTATATGTGATTTAATTTAAAGATAAAAAGGACTTGGCATTGCTACTTTCCACTTGTTGATATATTTTAGTCGATTATTGTTATATCTATAACTTATCCCCTCTCGAATACTCAATCGAGAAGTATCTCCAATTCATCAAGGGTAGTTATTAAAAACGACCGTTCATTAATAACCCTTACTATTAGTCAAGTATAGAACACCGCCATATACCGACTTGATAGTAGCATTTAATCTCTTAACTCCATGATGAAATCAATTGAGATTGATAACCTCAACACAACGGTTTCGGTTTAACCAACAAAATTAATCCCTCTTAAGTTTATTAACCATGACCGTGCATTAAAAAACCGAAGTTACTTACTTGTGAAACCATCAACGATTAACCATCGGTTCGTTGAACGTTTCTAGTAGTAATTAATGTCGAGATGTTAACTAATTGTCATCTTAGCAACACTCCCCAACATTAATATATAGATAGATTAAGAGAATAATTAATATTCAAGGGAAGAAGTTAAGAAAATAACTCACAACTTTAATAATCAACAAGCTTCAAGAGCAACACCAAGAAATGGAAGTTTAGTTCCTCATTTGGAGACTAAACATGCTATAAAAATATAAAAGAAATACTATTATAAACTGAGCTTAAGAGTATGGAAGAAGGAATGACTATTTGTGAAGGAAAAGTGTGCTATTTATAGGTGTTTTTCAACACCTTGGTCCGGGTACCCGACCGGGTCAAGTGCCCACCCGACCGGGTGCATGTCAAAATCAAATAATCCGCCATGTTCTCATGCTTCTGCACGTCATTTGGTCCCGGGTCATGTCTGACCCGACCGGGTGGGGTAGGAGACCCGACTGGGTGAGTGCACTTTCCAAGCACTTTCGGTTGTTGAATCAGACCCGACCGGGTGACGTCTTATGCCCGGTCGGGTATTTGCTTCTGGACAGTCAAAATTCTTTTTTCTTCACTTCAAAGTCCTCCTTTTCAACACCATAATTCCTAATTCTACTTTACAACTTACAAATGAGAACTAAAATACAATTACAACTAAAATCACACAAATGTTTACAAACTAAATAAAACGATAAACAATACACACAAATCAAACATAAAAACATACACTTATGCACTACTAATTAGTGCATATCAAGCATCTTATTTATTAAATCTAGTTTAGTCATACCAAATTTCAGCTAAAACTTCAATCGGGAAGGCATTCAAATGAATTCTTAAAGATAATTGCGCTTTTAACTCCGCAGTTATCTTCAAGAATTCATTTGAATGCCTTCTCGATTTAAGCTTTAGCTGAAATTTGGTATGAGTAAACTAGACTTAATGAATAAGATGCTCAAAAAATTTTGTCAAAAAATTCAACCGGGGACCGCCCCAAATGACGACGGCCGAACAGAGCCTCCTATATAAGGACTTATTTGACCCATTTTATGCAACTTCGAGTACCAATTTGACCTTTCCTCATAACTTAACCAAAGCCCTTAGATTACCAAAGAGGCAAAACATATACGTAGTACATTTTAACTTAAATACTTACTTGTAATCATATTCTTAATGTCAAATAGATAATAAGTATTACTGCATCATTATCAGAACCTCTCAAAATAATCTATAATTTTATAGATTCAAATACCAGTTACAATTATACATTCAAATGTAGTTGTTTAAAATACAGTTTATGGCACTACCTCTTGTAAAAATGTTTAACTTTACTTTGCTCTTCCACCCTTGCTAAGAGGTCGGCAATTTAGTTGGTATGTAGCGATATATAAGAGATACAGAGATCGGCAGAGGTTGGCAGTTTATTTGGTATGTGGCGAGAATGCGAGATGAGACGGCAGATGAGAGTGGAAGAGGTAGCGGATCTAAATGGGTGTACAAACTATTTTTGAAATAAAAATAAACAGGTGAAAAGATGAAAGTGTATATATAAAAGAAATATAATGTTGGGACATAAATGGAACCTGACTCGTAAAATTGACCCATTTGGGTAATTAGTAATTACCGCAATGAATAATACGTAGCAAGTATTAACAAATTTAAAAGTTCCGTTCAAAAAAACAATTTGAAAAGTTAATCTGTGCGATGTCCATTAATATTTGTACGTGTTTTGATTTCCAATAATCTGTGCGATGTCCATTAATCTGTGCGATCTCATTTCTTTTGGGCTCAAAGATTAAGGAAGCTGTTGAAAAGATAAAAGTTGCGGTTGAGATTTGAATATGAAAAGGTGAGATGATGTGAACCACATATTTCTTTCTAAAAAGGAAAATGGAATTATCAATTTGGGACGACCCAGAAAGGAAATACGGGATCATCAAATCGGGACGGAGGAAGTAAAGGGAATTGCCTTTCTATATAGGGATATTTTGCAAAATTGAAAGACAATTCTATAATGTACTCGTTGTTTATGATTCATGAATTGAAGGGAATTGCCTTTCTATATACATTGCAAAATTAAGGAATGGAAAAAATACTCCGTGATAAGTTCTCTTTCTGAAAAATCAAGAATGCAACCATCTCTTTCAATACTTAAGGATTACGGGGTAGGAATTCCCAGTCCTCTTATTTTTATACGGAGTAAAACTATTAGCTTTTTAGGAATGGAAATTGCCTCATTTTACAATCATATAGAGTACAAACTATTGGAGTATGGAAATTGCTTCATTTTATAATCATATAAAGTACAGACTATTGCCTCATTTGATTTCTAGTTTTAGAAATTAGACTTTTAACTTTTATTCTTTTAACGTCACCTATTTTAACTTTTGATTTCTATTTTTTTATTTCTTTCATTTTTTGCCCTTAGTATTTATATTTTTGAAGCTAAAATATTTTTTTGGAGGAGCCAATTTTTTTTTTCATATATACGACTTAAAACCTAAAATATAGCCTTTACCCTATAGAACTCAGCTACATAGTGGTCTCTAACTCTCTCTAGGAAGCAAACATTGATACTTCCCTGACGAAATATGACCTACAGCTCACAAGATTTCGACCATGGGATATATATGGTTCAGTATTACAAAGTTGTTTTGCTTGAAAGAAAATAGTCAAGTGAAAGTCCTACCTACACAATTACAATGAATATACTCAATTATTGTTTTAGCTTCTTTTTTACTTTTCATTGGATGGGAAATACTTGAAATAAATTACTGTCACAATCTTTTTCATGCTCTCCACCACCTCAGGCAGCTTTCAATTTCTGCACAAGATTCAAATAAAAGAAAACGGTAACCCGTTAGCAATTCAAGTGCTACGATTATTGGGGTTTGGATAAATGCAGCGTCGTTAAGAGTGTCAGATCACGGAAAATTCATGTTTTTTAGATCGAAAAATACAGAAGGATGATGAAAGATGGTTTTTGTTTCTTATAGGCTTACGAACGTTAAGATTTCTTAGTGTTTATGTAACAGCAATGGCTGCCGTGGCTACCCATCACCACATTTTTATTCCTTCCATAGTTAACCCATTATTCTGGCCTATTTTCTTTCCTTATCAAGTTCCAAATGGAGCCTTCATCCTTGTAAATGAAACTGGGGTAGTAACTTGCCATGCTTAAACTTGAATACTTTGACCCGTATGCTGCTCACATGGTTAAAAAACCACACTTAATGCAAAAATCATTTCCCTTTTAGTGATTGAAAATTAAAAATTTGCAGTATGGTACATAAAGTTTGATCTTTTACCCGTTTTTCTTCTTCCATTTTGGCCTTAATGAAGGAATAGAGTGCAACTCCAGCAATTGCAATACAAGTTCCAATACCAGTCTGAGTTGAAATCTTATTACCTGCAGATAAACAAAAAAACACAGAAATCGTACATCATTTTCGTTTAACAATACTAAAAAGATACAGCACAGTAAGAAAAAGATATACAGTATTTTATTTACCAAAGATAATGATTGAGAATCCGATGACAAAAACACGTTTGAGCACATTCCCAACAGCATGGGTGAGAGGCGCTACTCTCTCAAGGGTGTTCGTGGCTATCTGGAAGCAGAGGAAAATAAATAACAGTAAGGTTTAAACACTTTAACGCCATAAAAATGCCTTTTCAAACAAGTGGTTTAATACCTGATTGTACAAGTGGTAAAACATTCCCACCCAGAAAAGATCTGATAGAAATTTTGTCAAGCCCACTTTAGCGATCGCGTCATTAAACCCATGCTTCATTAACTGAGGTCCCTCGAACTGTGTTATAGTTGAAACCCAAAAAAGGGTTAAAAACAGCTGATTTGAAAAAACAACTTTTTGAAATGGTACTCCGTATTTTAGTATATATTTTTTCACTCACAATTAATGCCGGAGGGATACAGACAATGAGGGCAATGATGGATATGTAGGCATATACATTAGTGCTATCCATATCAGTCTGCAAACAAAATAACATGATGTGAAATAAATGCAGAAACAATGCCAAACGTATGACCACAATAAAAACCATGGACAAAAAGTGACTTTAATACACAGTGACCATGCTGGTATTTTAGGAGTGTTTATGCCTTTATGGTGACCTTAGTAATGTTCAGTTTTACACTGCATTTACTATGATTGTACTTTTGTTATGACTATAGTAACTATGTGACATGTTCGTTCATGATATCTATTTTAGTAATACGATCGGAATATAGGAAAAGCCCATTAAATATGATAGATGCACTTTTTATACGTAGTATGATAGATGCATTTGAAAAGTAATACGAGGAACATTAAGAGTGCGAACCATAGCTTTTTTGGAGTAGATACTCCTATATGTGAAAGAGATGTTTGAAATCATGGCACTGATGAATCCGGTCCAGTTGAAAGAGAGCTCAGTCAGTGAAGCCACCGACACGCCTGAATCCAGTATGACAATAAGATGGTAAAATCAAGATTTTTATGATTAACAAAAACACCAAAAAATGGTATGAGGAGCTAACCAAGAACAACAGGGGCGAGTGAGAGCCATAATGTCAAGGGTATTTGTTGTCCAAGTATGAACTGAGAGGCAGCAGCATTAAAGAAAGGCTCTAGAGCTGCAGCAGAATTAGTATAATAATACATTGATGTTACTATGATTATGATTATGATTATTATTCAACAAATGCAAACAAATTCTACATCAGATGAATGGTTCCTTCTTATAAATATCACCTTTGATTGTGTGGGTGAACGAGACAGCAACAGCAGCAAACGAAACATTGCTAGTCACATGGCCTAGTGCATGACAAACAGCTACCGGAACAAGCAACTTAAGGACTTTCGAATCAATCGGCTACAAGATATTAATTATCAAGAATAAACATTAGTAAATTAAGACAATAGTCAATAAATTCCCAAGCGACCCCACATCAGTTAACAACTTCTGTTTCCGTGTAATATATACGGAGTAAGTAAATAAGTTGCTCAAAATAAGATTAAAACATATACAAAGTGCACAACTAGAAGTACTTATGTTTTATAAATATGAGCAAAACCTTACATCTTACTTTTTTTATACATCGGAAAGTTAAACCTTACATCTTACTGACCATGAATAAGAAGTCTTTAATATACTACTCCGTATGAAATAACTATCAAAACCACTGTGATATAGTTTCAAAGACTTGTAGATGATGATTTTCAAGGTGTAAGCCCAATTGATAGTTTGGGGTACCCAATTGAGGGGAGATCTGGATTCACTTATCCTGCCCCTCTTAGGCTGAGAGGTATGCATTCACTTCTTTATGACTGTGTAACTGTGTAAGATAAAGATCATAAGATGAACAAAAATACTTTTGGTACACACTTTTTGGTGGACACACTTTTACACACTGTCCGTGTAGGGTCTTTTTTTTTTGTCTGTACAGACAAAAAAAAAAGAGCCTACACGGCCAGTGTGTAAAAGTGTGTCCACCAAAAAGTGTGTACCCCAAGTCCAACTCTAAGATGAAATACACATCAAGGTTTCTTTGGGACTTTATTTAAAAAACATCACTATAGAAAGATCATTAGAATAAAACAGAAAAAAGAATGGTTTAACAGTTATCCAAGTTTGCTGATTTATCCAGCATTAAATTCAAGCTTGAGTTGAATGGTGTATGTGTTGAATTCCCTGTTTATCCAAGTTTTGAGTGTTCTGTTACATTCATTTCTTTTAACTGATATTTGAGTTGAAACAGACAACTTACAGCTCTCTTGGGTAGGCCTACAGACCAGCTCACCAAGCAATACACCACTCCAACAGCCAAGTGTACAACAGACACAAAACTGCAGCCAACCCATACTTGTCTATCTATCATAAGCTCAAGAAAAGAAGTAAATAAAGAACAATAATAATAAAAACTAATGAAGATTAAGATTTACTCACTAAGGATAAGGGAAGTAATTGTAGATCTTCTTGTTGATAATGTTGAAGATCACATTCAGGAAATACCTGCAGATGACGGGGTCAATTTAGTAACTTTCGATACATAACGTCGCCGGCGGTTAAATTAATTAATCAACCGGGGAGCTCAGGAACATACCACATGAAGAAGAAGAACCCCGTCACAAGCGTCGGGTATTTCTGCACGAACCCGACGGGACCGACCTTAGCATCCCTGCGAAAACCACGGGTCAGGAAAATCCTATGATTTCGGGTCAGTCAATGGGATTACAGAACTTACCCTGAATCACTGGCTGAGGCATGGCATGGAGGGAGAACCTCCCTTTTCATCACCGGCGTAATTGAGCTCGCCGGAGAAGCCTCGAGTAGAGTAGCCAGCTTGAACGGCCGTCCCCATACCAATTTTTCGGATTCGAGGCTGCAAGCTACGGTTGAATTTGCAACGGGGAAGCTTAAGGCGGTGCACCTCAGTGCTGCCGGTGACTTCCGCAGAAGAGGAACGCCGCGGGCGGTGGTGGTGACGCCTGAGAGGACGCGAGACTCCATTTGACTAGCGAGAGAGGCAGAGGAGGGACGTTACACTCACTCTCTCAGTAGCGGAGTACACTTCTAAATTAGTAGCAGTAACAAATTAGGATCATACGTTTATTTAGTTCAGTTTGAATAGCTGGGAATCTAGGATAAGGACTCTAATCCGTCTTAGAGACATCAAATTAGATCAGACTTGAATAATTATAAAAATATAAACAAGAGAAAATCGCACTTTTAATGCGTGAAATAGTCACGAAAATGAAATGTCGGACCTGTATTCCCAAATTTGTAAATGTCGTCCCTCAATTATCATAAATGTTATAAATGTGGACCTTTGAAGGGTGAAATATATAATGTGGGCGAGAGTACATTTCACTCCTTAAATGTGGATCACATTTACAACAATTTGGACAATTAAGGGGTGACATGTACAATACCAGGAATACCGGTCCTACATTGCATTTTCGTGACTATTGCAGGGACTAAAAGTGTGATTTTCCCTACAAACAAACCAAACATTATCAGATCAGATCAGACCAAAGCAGACCAGCAAATTACAATTCATGTAAAAACATCCTAAACATTATATATTTACCTCAAATATAATTTGTTAACATAATTAATTACTCCTCTAAAAAAAGTTTAAAGTTTAGCCCTGAATAATCTAAAGTTCTAACACCCAAATAGTCTCAACTTGTTAAAAGTGTCGCATAAGTGAACTAACAAAATAGAAAGTTAACACCATTAAGTGTAATTATACAAATTAAAATAAATTAAAAACATTAAGAGTCCATTTTGTAACCCCAAAATTGATTGAATTGGATAAATCTGGTGAAATGTATAATTCTGGGCAAAATGAGGTGAGTTGGCTGAATATGTTGAATTATAGAAAAAATTAAATTTAAAATACGTACTATTTTTTATGGAGTATTATTAAAATAAAGAAAAAATTATATGAAAAACAGAAAAAGTGTTCTTCTACAATAATTACATCCAATTCATCTAAACAAGTAATTCAAATCTTATTTAATTTAATTATTATACAATCTATCGCGTGAAATAAAAATTACTTATTTGATAAATAGTTGATTGATAAGGTTTCTTTTAATGCTAATTGATTGATAGAGTCGATAGTTTTTTTTATAAGAGAGTTGATAAGTTAATGAATCTAATTTGTACAAGTATCTTTTAGAAAAATAGGAGAAAAAGGTGAGAAGTGGGAGATACTCACTATGTTGCACGGATACGGATACGCTGATACTCGGATACGCGGATACGGGTACGGCGATACGGCACTTTAAAAAATTATAGGATACGAGTACGGGGGTATATTTATAAATAATAAAAATATAGGGTATAATTTGCAAATATATATAATTCAGGGGTTCATAAATAAAATAATAATTGTACAAAAAAATAACTATTATAATAAAGTTTCAAAGATTAGTCTAAAAAAACTAAAGTATTGATATTTTGATTTAAATTCAAATAACATTTTTTTGTTCTCTATTTGCATTTACATCTAAGTATTGTTTCAATTAAAGCTCATCAAACAATGAAATGACAAATTATAGTATTCCGTTATTTTCCATACTCCCGAAACCATCTTTATCAATGTTCCACATGTTGTGGTCGCTTGGGCGGCTACTGAATTTTTGTCATGTTGTGTATCAAATGAGGGGTTATAGGTTCGGATACGCGTATCGGTTCACGGATACGGGTATCGGAAGTATCGATATTTTTAAAATTAAGTCCGATACTTTTATTAAATTACGGATACGGACCCAATACATACAGGACGCGTATCGGTGAGTATCGGATACGGATACGTATCGGATACACGGATACGACATCGAGGTGAAGTATACTCACCATGCTCTTGTTATTCAAAAGTTTCAAATCAAACAATTATAGGCATCAATGGGAATTTGGTCACATATGCAATGGAGTGGATTTTGTGTGGATATTTTAGGACTGTGGGGTCTTATCTTATCATCCGGAATAGGCTTTTAACCAATGGCATGTCCGTTTCCAATCTCATTATCTGCTTTGTTTATTTGGTGCCTCTTATCAATATTTTCACATTTCTCGTGTGATGGGGAACCCACTCGTGAAAAAACGAAGGTCGAAAATGCAAATGTGTAAGCATTTTGTCCATTAAAAATCAAACCGGATGAAATTTAGGTTTGAACAAAAATATTCATACTCAAATTGATAGACAAATTGATCAAAATCGAATTAACAAAAATCAAATCGAAAAAACAAAAATCCAAAAAAAAACCAATTAAACCACAAGCGGTATAAATAAAAGGCCGACTGAACTGACGTATAAACCTCCTCAAACTAACCGACATACATCTAAATTGATCGAAAATAAAACAAATCCAAGTTAACTAAGAGCACATTTCGTAGCACACGGAAATAAGTTGATTTGACTGATTCTGCTGAAATTTATGAAATTCTAACTGGAGTGGCTGCATTGGATGAGTCTGCTGATTTAAGAAAAAATTATATGTAAAAATAGCTGTTGGGTTAAGGGCCCAAGCCGAGGTCCGGCCCACTAACCCATCTTGCCAGACGAACGTCCAGTTAGGACACTAGGCCAGCCCACAGGCCCATGTTCCCTGAGGATGGACGAACGTCTGGTGTTGGAGGACTCAGGCCCAGCAGCTCATCCCGACGAACGTCTATGCAGGGACAAGGAGCAGAACCACGGGCCACCAGGGATGGCGACGAACGTCCACAGAGCAAGCCTGCGGTCATCGGGGGAAACCCAGTCCACATGGTGAGTATCCATCAAGGCCAGGAGACGAACAGCCGATATCTCCCAAGGGTCCCTTGGAGCAATCCAACTCACTTCCCGGTGGACGAACGTCCCCACTAATCCGGCGGGAAACCTAGATTCTGGCGGGAAGTGCATTTAATGCTAAAGATTTGGTAGTTGGGACACCAGCGGTCCACAGGCTGCCACGTCACTACAGCCACCTGCCCATTGGCGGGTATAAATAGAAGCATTTATTCCATTGTAAAGGGTTGGCAACTTTCTATTCTTAGCATACTAGCTTCAGCATTCTTACTCGCAGCATTTCTAACTGCCTTGTAAGACGAACGGCCGACGTGCCTTTGTTAGCAAGTAGATTGTACTTAGGGGAGTTATTACGAAGTTAATAATACCTATTTACATTGCCTGCTATTACTCTTGTTTCCTGATTCATCTAATAGTTGTTGGGCTAGATAACCATACACTCACTCCATTCGAAACCTTTGGGCTTACGTGTTGGGTCCACGGGTTGAAGGAATAAACCTCAACACTGGCGCCGTCTGTGGGAAACTGAGCGAAAAGTTTCCAGAAACTCTCCCAAACAGCTACTAAGTCTACCTACTGCAAACACGATGTCGGGAAGCAACACCCAGCGTGATCTCTCCGAGCGTCTGGAGTCGAGCCGGCGGAACCGCGGCCAGAACTCGGAACTATCCGCAACAATATGGACTTCAGGGGGAAACGGGGGTATCACTGACCTCATTCCCCTGGAGGCCAGGCAGGATCCCCGCCTCATGCGTGAACTCGCAGACACCATGCGTCGCATGGCGGACGAGCGGGAGGCCCGAGAGCAGGTGTACTCTGCAAGCACTCAGCGAACGCCCCTCTCTCCCATACGCCGCATGCAGTCGTACGATGATACGACGGGATCCAGTGACCACCGGCCCTCAGTCCACGAGCGGCTAGGTGGGGGTTCAGGCTCCCGTGAAACGGGAGGGCGGACCAGGGTTAGCATCGCTGCATCCAGGGCTCTCACACCATCGATTCCTCGCCAGATTCCGCGGGGAGACGAGACCCCAAGGGTCAACACCGTTGGACGACGTTTCCAACGGCGAGGTGCGCGGATCTTCAGGCGGCCGCACGATGTTGTGGCCGCTCAGCAGAATGCCACCCCCGAAGCCGCGCCCCCTGTGTCCCCCGGAAGGGCCGCACAGGACGCACGGCTGGAAGCCATGGAGAGGCAGATAGCCGAGATGAACAGGCGGGCGGACGCCGGCTCGGCCACACCCTCCTTCTCTCTCACATCACCTTTCACTCCACGGGTGATGAGCGTCGAGATCCCCCGGGACTGCAGGCCCCCGGGGAACTTGGTGTATAATGGGGCTGGTGATCCTAAGGCCCATCTGATAAGCTACCAAGGGAACCTGTCCATGCTGGGAGCATCGGACGAGGCCATCTGCAGATTGTTCTTCAGCACCCTCAGGGGGCCAGCTCAGGAATGGTTCGGCCAGTTGAGGCCGGGCACCATTGACTCATATGAACAGCTTTCCCGGCAGTTCATGGCACAGTTTGCTGCCAGCACCACCCCCAGGAAGGATGTCACGGCACTCGCCCACATCAAGCAAGGGCGGGACGAACCGCTGGCTAGGTTCCTGGTGAGGTGGAGGGACGAGGTACTGCAGGTCGACGATCTGGACGAACGTCTGGCCACCAACATGTTCACCAGTGCGCTGGCCACAGGGGATCTGTATCGGGACCTCAGGAGGAATCCCGGCACCAACTACACCGAGGTTTTGGCCCGGGCACAAAAGTATGCCTCCATTGAGGAGGAGATCAGGCAGCGGGACGGAGTTCCCGCGGCCCAGCCTAGGAAGATGGCGGACAGGCTCGGACCTAAACCAGGACCCGGGCCCTCTCCCCCAAGCAAAAAGAGGAGGGTGGACGGGGCGATGGTCCCTTGGAAGGCTCCGTCCGGGGACAGTCAGACGCGGCCAGACGACCGCTATATACCTTTGGCCTATCCAGTGAGCCAAATCTTCGAGGCCATCAAGGACAAGGGCCTCCTGACGGAACCCCAAGATATGAAGAAGTATATGGGGCTTGACCAATCGGCTTACTGTGAATACCATCAGAGGGTCGGCCACCTGACGGACAACTGCAGCCAATTAAAGAAAGCGATCGACGAGCTGATACGTCAGGGGTACTTGGGCGAGTTCACCCAGCTGCTGAACAAAAACAGTCAGCAGAAGCCGAACCCAAGGCACAAGACATGGCGCCGCGACGACCGGCGCGAAGCAGAACCTCAGGACGTGGATTATCGGAGTGCAGATAAACGTCCGGAGGGGTCCCTTGGCCCAAAGGGCAAGAAGAAGAAGTTGGAGATCAAGGTGATCTTCGGGGGCGCTGAGACAGGAGATACACCCGCCGAGCGGAAAAAATTTGAGAGATCACTCTATGTGGGTTCCGTATCAGCACCCCCCACCAAGCGCAATAAGACCGAGGCAATTACCTTCGGCCCCGCTGATCTGCCAATGTCACCGGCGCCGCACAGAGACGAGCTGGTGATCAGCATGGATGTGAATGATGCCATCGTCCGCCGCGTCCTTGTTGATACTGGGAGCAGTGTGAACATCCTCTACTGGGAGGCTTTCGAAGGAATGAAGCTCAGGAAGGACATGCTGCACCCTCTGCGCACCCCGCTGTCCGGTTTCACCGGGGACTGCATTGACGCCGAGGGCACCATCGCCTTGCCGGTAGAGATCGGCGACGGCCCTCATACGGCCCGGATCAGCATGACGTTCGTCGTGGTCCGCCTAAATTTTCTTTTTATTCGCTCCACTAAATTTGTCTCATACCATATTTGATAATATTTTTATGATCGTAATTTATTCTTACTTTATTATCAATTTATAACACATTATGAACCACAAAACTTTACTTTTTAAAAAACTGCATCATTTTCCTTTATCAAAACCTTAGGGAGAAAAGGTAGTATTAGATATTTTGATGTAAATTTTTCTATATTTTATTAGCAAAATACCATATACTTCGTATACCTTAACTATAATTTACTCTGAATTCATCAAATTCAGTTTTTTGAGCCGGTTCAGTCAACAGATTTAACGGATCCATCTAATTTAAGTATTATCAAAGGGGTTCTAAATTTGTTTAAAATAAGAATTGAACATGTAATTCTTCCAATCAAATTAACGTCTTCGTATGAAATTTCAAATGTAAATATGGTACTACTATACGTATTTATCTGTTTATCATGAATAGCCCATTCAGATTCTGCTTGACCATTTATCCGATTTGCTTAGACCATTTAATTAGCCACTACGCTTATAGTCATATGAAGTACTTCGTATATACTACGCATTAATAATGCTTCATTGAAAATAAAGGATGAAAGTGTCTTTGAAACTTTTATTTCACTACAAATAAGTAGATTTCTGAGATCTATCTTTCATTCATAACCAAAACAGGAAAAAGAAGATGATATTACCAACTTTCATCCATCATTTATTTTACTTATTGAAATGCAAGGAAAAAAAATTCATCATTTATTTTACTCATTTTAAGTGCCAGAAAAAAAGGTTCATCATTTATTATACTCATTTTAAGTGCTACAAAAAAGGTTCATCATTTATTTTAGTCCTTATTAAATGCAAGGAAAAAAGGGAAAATAGCGACCACACGCAAAAGGGCAGATAGGATCAAAGACATAGAAGCCAGCAAGACAGAACATACTACGTACATAAATAGCGTATTAAGAAATGGGTGGTAAAAACGAGGTAGGAACAGAGAATCAAACAAAGGGCAGCTGACCTTAAAGTTGAAGGACACAAAGGAGAGGGTTTCCTGTCTTGAGAAGCTTGTCTTTGCATTTGGCACCGACGCATGAATCATGCAGGCCAGCGAGTTCCACATGTTCAAACTCAGTGAGTCGCCCACAAACATTATCTTCTTCCCATTCCATCTCTTCAAAAGCTCCAATCCATCAAACCTATATGTATTTCCATTTTACAACAACTTAATAGTTAATAAACCTCAATTCATAATGAAAGTATTTGAGTATAAATAAATTGGCTTATAAGGTGTACGGGTTAGTTTATTCCTCACTCTTATGTGAACCAAAGTGCATCTAGTTTATGATGACAATGTATTGTGGTTATAAATCAAATACTACCTCTATCCCAATTTGATTGTACCAGTTCATAGTCACATGGTCAACACAAATCACTCTAAATCTCTTACTTTATATATCAATTTTTTATCAAATTTGATTCAGGTGTTTGAGACTTTGTAAAGCTTTTAATGTACTTTCTGAATATGTATTTTTTTCCTAAAAATAATATGAGTGCAGACAAGAATCTGTTTGTTTTATCGTCAGTCAAACATCGTAAACCGCAATGACATCATCAAATTAGGACGGAGGGAGTAACCTTTTGTTACTTTCATTTATACATATACTGGAAAAACCTAAAAAAGTGAATATTAAACATTTATAAATACGGCCTATTTGACAACTAATGTGTTCAATCGTACTGTGTACCGTGTACGAATGAACAAAGCGAACCCCTTTTTATGAGAGAAACTCCTTTATAAAGTATCCTACTTCCATTCTTTAATGGTTGTGTTCTCATTTTGGCACAATTATTAATAGAGTGGTTGAACAGTAATAATTTTGGTCGAGATTTGAGTATAATAACGTGAAATGATATGGAACACAAATTTTTTATCAAAAGGGAAAACATATTCAAAGTGCATTAGGACTAAATATATTTTATTCTTTAAATATGACACGTTCGCTCTTAATTGGGAAAGGTTGATGTTTCTACTATGACTAAATAAATCTTATTTTGAGAATAAAATATAGTTAGTCGTATTTGTGCATTTTGTCCATATTTTAGCTGTATTTTAAGCAATATTTGTTACGAGTATGACACTTCTTTGGGTAGGTGTGACTTTTTATGTGTTTAGCCATGATTTTTAGTTAAGACTAACTCTATTAGTTACTAATCCCATCGTTTTTGTTTTACTTTCCTTTCTTAATTATTTCATTCGTAGCTCTCTTTTTGGAAAAAAAATAGTGTTCCAAGTCGATTTTATTAAATTCAAATTTCAACCAAAACTTTTAACTTTTCAAAATATTTATTACGGAGTAATAATTATGCCAAACAATACTATATACTCCGTAGCTTTGTCCCTTATAACTTTGTAATCTCCAATTTTTTATGTCCCAAAATTTGTACTTGTATCGCTTTTTAATGGTGATTCCCATTATCTCTTTCTCCTCTACATAAACTTTATCATACTGTATTTACCTTACTATTTTCTCTACCCGTCAAACTTAATAAATTTTAGGAATAGCGTATTAATAAGTGTGTCAAATGAAAACAAAATGAATGAAATCGGGGTAGTATATCAATTGAGTCGATGTTCGATTAGAAGAATATATAAAAGTATGAAACAGTAAAGAGCATAGCTTAAACGATGTCAAATGACTATTTTATCCTTCTTTTTTTAAGTAGTACCCGGAGTGTGTAATTTCCATCAAACCCATTCAAAGCACAAGTTTTTTATTTAATTAAAATTACACCTAGTAGGCTAATATAGTCACTTCCATCAGAATACATAAAAAAAAATCAGCCCATAATCCCCTGCCAATTCTTTTATATTAACTCCAATAATAGATATCCAAATCGTACGTTTATATAATAGAATATATGAAAATTTAATATTTCAGCCCATAATTCCCGTCAAATTCTCCTCTTACCAAACGAAACATTCATCAAATTTAATATTTTCAGCCCATAATTATCGAATTATTAAATTGATTGAATTAGAAATAAAATAACCTGGGCAAGGCACAAGAGTCGGGCTGCCAGGCATAGCTGAGGTAGAGCCTATCCGGGCGGCCAAATTTGATGCAGTCAAATTCAGGGTCGAGAAAGGGGCAGCTGGCGGGCTGATACAGAGGATACGAGGAATCCACCGCCCATTTCCCTCTGAATAAGTTGCACTTCTCGCCGGCGCCGCCGCCATTGCTGACATTATTACTGTTTTGCCCCGCCGTCAAACCTCTTGCTCCTTGGCCTTGCAGTAACAGAAGAAGGAGAAATTGGGTACCCATTATTACTCCCAGTTCCAATACTCTGCAGCTAGACATCACTTTTAGCCCGGCGGCGCCGCCCATCTTTGGGTTTTGGCTCGGACCACTTTGTGAGCTGAACCGTGCCTAGAAATCGAGATACTTATATATAAAGAGGACGGCGAATAAATTATGGACAGGATAGAAAAATGCCTTTAAAGTAGGTAGGGGAAATTGAGAACCTATATGGTACACCCGGGTGTACCGATCAGAACCGTACATCCGGGTTTTTTTTTTTATTTTTTTAAACTTCAGCCCAATTTTGATAACCCAGATTGAATAGAATTAAATGAATCCAACGGAAGGCCCACAAAACAGGCCCAATTAAGAAAGACAATCCATTCAATTAAAACGGCCTATTTTTTTTCGGTGGCAGTTTTGTAATTTAAGCGAAAAATCATGGCTCGCGCTAAATGAGCAATAATGTAGTTTTGTTGAGCATCTCACATATTGTATTGAGTATTATGAGGTTAATAATGAGTATCACGATCTTTGCTTCATATCTTCCAATTCTTTTTTTTTCTGCTATAAAAACTTATTGATTTATATCTAAAATTCACTCCTATTAATTTCAATATGCGAGTCTAATGTAATATGATACTTTTGAAATATGCATTGATATGACATTTTAAAAATGAGCATAACATCAGTATCAAATGAGCATACATAACTTACAAAGTGCACATTGATATGAAAATCATAATGATTGTTAGTTGAACATCATGACATTTTAATTGAGCATCAAACCTCCACTATTGAGATGAAAATCACAACTTCTGGAGAATGAGTAATAATAAACTTTTAATGAGCACCCGACCTATTCTGTTGAGTATTAGGAGTCAACATTTTAATTGAGCATCAAACATCTGCTATTGAGATGAAAATCATAGTTTCTTGTGAATGAGTAATAATAAACTTTTAATGAGCATCAAACCTAATATGTTGAGTATTAGGAGTCTATCATAAAATAATACTTATAAAAATGCATTGATATGACATTTAGAAAATGAGCTTAAGATCAGTATCAGATGAGCATATGTAACTTACAACATGAGTATTAATGAATTTGTTAGTTGCTTTGTTGGTTACAAATCACAACATTTTTATTCAGCTACAAAACTTCTCTATTGAGATTGATGAAAATCATGATTTCTATTATATGAGCATTCATGAATTATTAATGAGCATCAGACCTATACAAATGAGCATGTGTAACTTACAAGATGAGCATTGATATGTGTTGGGTTAAGGGCCCAAGCCGAGGTCCGGCCCACTAACCCATCTTGCCAGACGAACGTCCAGTTAGGACACTAGGCCAGCCCACAGGCCCATGTTCCCTGAGGATGGACGAACGTCTGGTGTTGGAGGACTCAGGCCCAGCAGCTCATCCCGACGAACGTCTATGCAGGGACAAGGAGCAGAACCACGGGCCACCAGGGATGGCGACGAACGTCCACAGAGCAAGCCTGCGGTCATCGGGGGAAACCCAGTCCACATGGTGAGTATCCATCAAGGCCAGGAGACGAACAGCCGATATCTCCCAAGGGTCCCTTGGAGCAATCCAACTCACTTCCCGGTGGACGAACGTCCCCACTAATCCGGCGGGAAACCTAGATTCTGGCGGGAAGTGCATTTAATGCTAAAGATTTGGTAGTTGGGACACCAGCGGTCCACAGGCTGCCACGTCACTACAGCCACCTGCCCATTGGCGGGTATAAATAGAAGCATTTATTCCATTGTAAAGGGTTGGCAACTTTCTATTCTTAGCATACTAGCTTCAGCATTCTTACTCGCAGCATTTCTAACTGCCTTGTAAGACGAACGGCCGACGTGCCTTTGTTAGCAAGTAGATTGTACTTAGGGGAGTTATTACGAAGTTAATAATACCTATTTACATTGCCTGCTATTACTCTTGTTTCCTGATTCATCTAATAGTTGTTGGGCTAGATAACCATACACTCACTCCATTCGAAACCTTTGGGCTTACGTGTTGGGTCCACGGGTTGAAGGAATAAACCTCAACACTGGCGCCGTCTGTGGGAAACTGAGCGAAAAGTTTCCAGAAACTCTCCCAAACAGCTACTAAGTCTACCTACTGCAAACACGATGTCGGGAAGCAACACCCAGCGTGATCTCTCCGAGCGTCTGGAGTCGAGCCGGCGGAACCGCGGCCAGAACTCGGAACTATCCGCAACAATATGGACTTCAGGGGGAAACGGGGGTATCACTGACCTCATTCCCCTGGAGGCCAGGCAGGATCCCCGCCTCATGCGTGAACTCGCAGACACCATGCGTCGCATGGCGGACGAGCGGGAGGCCCGAGAGCAGGTGTACTCTGCAAGCACTCAGCGAACGCCCCTCTCTCCCATACGCCGCATGCAGTCGTACGATGATACGACGGGATCCAGTGACCACCGGCCCTCAGTCCACGAGCGGCTAGGTGGGGGTTCAGGCTCCCGTGAAACGGGAGGGCGGACCAGGGTTAGCATCGCTGCATCCAGGGCTCTCACACCATCGATTCCTCGCCAGATTCCGCGGGGAGACGAGACCCCAAGGGTCAACACCGTTGGACGACGTTTCCAACGGCGAGGTGCGCGGATCTTCAGGCGGCCGCACGATGTTGTGGCCGCTCAGCAGAATGCCACCCCCGAAGCCGCGCCCCCTGTGTCCCCCGGAAGGGCCGCACAGGACGCACGGCTGGAAGCCATGGAGAGGCAGATAGCCGAGATGAACAGGCGGGCGGACGCCGGCTCGGCCACACCCTCCTTCTCTCTCACATCACCTTTCACTCCACGGGTGATGAGCGTCGAGATCCCCCGGGACTGCAGGCCCCCGGGGAACTTGGTGTATAATGGGGCTGGTGATCCTAAGGCCCATCTGATAAGCTACCAAGGGAACCTGTCCATGCTGGGAGCATCGGACGAGGCCATCTGCAGATTGTTCTTCAGCACCCTCAGGGGGCCAGCTCAGGAATGGTTCGGCCAGTTGAGGCCGGGCACCATTGACTCATATGAACAGCTTTCCCGGCAGTTCATGGCACAGTTTGCTGCCAGCACCACCCCCAGGAAGGATGTCACGGCACTCGCCCACATCAAGCAAGGGCGGGACGATCCGCTGGCTAGGTTCCTGGTGAGGTGGAGGGACGAGGTACTGCAGGTCGACGATCTGGACGAACGTCTGGCCACCAACATGTTCACCAGTGCGCTGGCCACAGGGGATCTGTATCGGGACCTCAGGAGGAATCCCGGCACCAACTACACCGAGGTTTTGGCCCGGGCACAAAAGTATGCCTCCATTGAGGAGGAGATCAGGCAGCGGGACGGAGTTCCCGCGGCCCAGCCTAGGAAGATGGCGGACAGGCTCGGACCTAAACCAGGACCCGGGCCCTCTCCCCCAAGCAAAAAGAGGAGGGTGGACGGGGCGATGGTCCCTTGGAAGGCTCCGTCCGGGGACAGTCAGACGCGGCCAGACGACCGCTATATACCTTTGGCCTATCCAGTGAGCCAAATCTTCGAGGCCATCAAGGACAAGGGCCTCCTGACGGAACCCCAAGATATGAAGAAGTATATGGGGCTTGACCAATCGGCTTACTGTGAATACCATCAGAGGGTCGGCCACCTGACGGACAACTGCAGCCAATTAAAGAAAGCGATCGACGAGCTGATACGTCAGGGGTACTTGGGCGAGTTCACCCAGCTGCTGAACAAAAACAGTCAGCAGAAGCCGAACCCAAGGCACAAGACATGGCGCCGCGACGACCGGCGCGAAGCAGAACCTCAGGACGTGGATTATCGGAGTGCAGATAAACGTCCGGAGGGGTCCCTTGGCCCAAAGGGCAAGAAGAAGAAGTTGGAGATCAAGGTGATCTTCGGGGGCGCTGAGACAGGAGATACACCCGCCGAGCGGAAAAAATTTGAGAGATCACTCTATGTGGGTTCCGTATCAGCACCCCCCACCAAGCGCAATAAGACCGAGGCAATTACCTTCGGCCCCGCTGATCTGCCAATGTCACCGGCGCCGCACAGAGACGAGCTGGTGATCAGCATGGATGTGAATGATGCCATCGTCCGCCGCGTCCTTGTTGATGCTGGGAGCAGTGTGAACATCCTCTACTGGGAGGCTTTCGAAGGAATGAAGCTCAGGAAGGACATGCTGCACCCTCTGCGCACCCCGCTGTCCGGTTTCACCGGGGACTGCATTGACGCCGAGGGCACCATCGCCTTGCCGGTAGAGATCGGCGACGGCCCTCATACGGCCCGGATCAGCATGACGTTCGTCGTGGTCCGCCTGAAATGCGCCCACAACGCCATTTTGGGCCGGCCCGGCTTGGAAGACTTGGGGGCCATATGCTCCGTACGGCACTCATGCCTCAAATTCCCCACCGACACTGGGGTGGGGGTAGCACGTACGGACCCACATATGGCCAGGGCCTGCTACACGAAGGCCATGGAAAAGCTCAACGAGCGGGAAGCTCGGGTCAACAGCATCTCCGAGAGGGCCAAACAGGCCGACTTGGACGCTCATCTGGAACCAGCAACTCTGCTGGAAGAAATCGAGCTCGATGACCCGACGGACAGGAGGGTGTCCATCGGTGCAGATCTAGAACCAGAAGTCAGGGCGGGGGTCATAGCCGTCCTCCGAAGGTTCAGGGTCTTATTCGCCAGAGGGCCAGAGGACATGCCGGGCATCGACCCCAACCTCATATGCCATAGACTCGCCGTACGGCCGGATGCCAAGCCTGTACAGCAGAAGAAAAGGTATATGGCGGCCGACCGACGCGATTTCATCAGGAAGGAGACGGCAACCCTCCTCAGCATTAAACACATCCGGCCGGTCATCCACGTGGAGTGGCTGGCCAACGTGGTACTAGCCCCGAAGGGCGACACTTGGCGGATGTGCGTCGATTACTCGGACCTGAACAAAGCTTGTCCGATGGATCCTTACCCTGTTCCGAGGATCGACTTGCTGGTGGATGAGACGGCAGGCTGCGAGCTGCTCAGCTTCATGGATGCATTCAGGGGCTACCATCAGGTGTTCATGCACCCCGATGATGCCGAAAAAACGGCGTTCGTTACAGCGGACGGCGTGTATTGCTACATCGTCATGCCGTTCGGCCTGAGGAACGCCATGGCTACCTTCCAGAGGATGATTGGGATGTTATTCAAAGATGTGCTCGGGAAGACAATGGAAGCTTACGTGGATGACATCCTGATCAAGAGCAAGAGAAAGGAGGACCATGTCCAGGACATGGAGAGGGTCTTCGACATCATGGAGAAGGCCAGCATGAGGCTCAATCCGAAGAAATGTGCCTTCGCCGTCCGGGGCGGCAAATTCCTCGGCTACATGATGAGCGGGCGGGGGATCGAGCCTAACCCGGAAAAGGTGAAGGCAATTATGGACATGGAGGCCCCGAAGAACCTGAAAGATGTGCAGCGTCTCACCGGGCGTCTAGCGGCCCTAAGCAGATTCTTATCCAAGCTGGCTGATAAGGCGATCCCTTTTTTCCAGATCATGAAAAAAGCCAGTCCCTTTGAATGGACCCCGGAATGCCAAGCTGCCTTCGAAGATTTCAAGGTATATCTCTCTTCTCCGCTCGTCCTCACCAAAGCGGATCCCGGGGAGAGATTGTACATGTATCTGGCGGTAGCCGACCTAGCTGTGAGCGCTGTGCTGCTAAAGGAATCTGAAGGCGTCCAGCGGCCAATATACTTCGTGAGTAAGGCGCTGAACGGCCCCGAGACGAGATACACACTGATGGAAAAGACGATCCTTGCCTTGATTGCATCCATCAAGCGCCTGGCGCCGTATTTTCAGGCACACCCGGTGACCGTCTACACAACGCAACCCCTCGCCACCATCCTCAGAAATCCAATGGCGAGCGGGAGGATAACCAAGTGGTCCCTGATGATCGGCCAGTATGACGTGGAGTTCAAACCAAGGCCGACGATCAAGGGACAGGCACTGGCGGACTTCATTGCAGAATGCACCGCGCGCACCGAGGACGAAACCCATGACAGCAACGACTTCGACAATTGGTGGGAGATGTACACCGATGGGGCCTGAAGTGCGCGGGGTTGTGGCGGGGGAGCGGTGATCACTTCCCCCGAAGGTTTCAAGGCCTACTACTCTATGAAATTCGAGTTCAAGGTCACCAACAACGAGGCTGAATACGAGGCGCTTATCGCAGGTCTGAAATGCGCGAAAGCCCTCGGAGCAGCTCGTCTGAAGGTAAGAATGGACAGCCAGCTGGTGGTAACCCAGATGAACGGCACGGCAGAAACCAGGGAAGAGAGAATGAAGGTCTACAAAGAGCTGGCGGAGGAACAGACCGCACAATTTGAGCAGGTGGTGCTTGAGCAGGTATCGCGGGTGGAGAATGCAGAGGCGGACATACTGTCGAAACTAAGCAACCCCCCAACCGATGATCCGGCCTCAGGCATCCCCCGACACATTAGAGGCTTCGTTAGGCAGGAGGTGTTCCCAGTACCGGCAACGGACGTCATCCAGGTGGAGGTTATCTCCGTGGCCGAACCTAACTGGGCGAAGGAGATAGCAGATTACCTCAGAGATGGAACACTCCCTGAGCCCGAGGATGATGGCAGTACAGGAAGAGCCGCATGGGTAAAGAGGCGTGCCCCTAACTTTGAACTTATTGACGGGCAGCTCTACAAGAAGACGTTCGGCGGACCCTACCTCCGATGCCTCCCGCCGAGCCTGGCAGCGGCGGTGATCGAGGAAATACATGAAGGGATCTGCTCCAGCCACCAGGGCCCCCGGACCTTGGCCAGGAAAATCATCCTGCAAGGCTATTACTGGCCGACCATACAGCAAGATTGCTTCAATCACACCCGGAAATGCGCAGTATGCCAGCAGTATGCACCTGTCCCTGGCCGTCCAGCAAGTTTCTACACCCCGATGACCATCGCACTACCTTTTGCTAGGTGGGGCATAGACCTGCTGGGCCCTCTGCCAACGGCTGCTGGTGGAAGGAAGTTCGTCATCGTGGCGGTTGATTATTTCACGAAGTGGGTCGAGGCCGAGCCGTTGGCCTCCATCACTGAATTCCAGTGCCAGAAGTTCGTCTGGCAGAACATCATTTGCCGCTTCGGAATCCCAGAGCAGATCATCACTGACAACGGCCGGCAGTTCATCGGCAGAGGCTTTGAGGCATACTTGGCAAAGTGGGGCATCAGGCACTCTAAGGCCTCGGTGGCCTACCCACAGGCCAACGGCCAAGTGGAGAACATGAACCGGACCATCATGGGTGGAATCAAGAAGAAGTTAGAGGACTACGCCTCCACCTGGCCGGAACAGCTGAATTATGTCTTGTGGACGTATAGAACAACGCCCAGAACGGCAACTGGCGAGACCCCTTTCGCCTTAGCTTATGGTTTCCAAGCTAAGGTACCGACGGAAGTATTGGTACCTACACACCGCACCAAGCACTTCCAGCCGGAGGACAACGAGACCAACCTGCGAGCGGAGCTCCATTTCATTGAGGAACGGAGGGACCTGGCGGCTCGACGCATGGAAGAGTATCACAGGGCCACCCAGAGATACTTCAACAAGGCTGTGAAATTCCGCGAAATAGAGGCCGGGGACCTCGTACTCAGGAAAAGAGAAAAGAGCAAGCCGCTCGAAGGCGGCAAAATGGCGAAGAACTGGGAGGGACCTTACCGGGTCATCAGAAGATACAACCAGGGGACGTTCCTCCTCCATACCCTGGAGGGGAACCATGCCGGGATGTGGAACGTTGAACACCTGAAAAAGTTCTATCAATAGTTAGAGGCTGATGTCCTTGTTATGTTTCCACTCCCATGTAAAATGACCGGACGTCGTCAATAATAAAGGCCCCCTGTTTTTTCTTTTTTACATCATTTCCGTTCTGCCAACGACCGCTAAAGAAGGGAATCTCGATGCAGATACACCTGTTCCTCCTTGTGATGTCTGCGGATACCGAACGTCTCCTCGAAGTAGGGACGCCGGTAGGACCAAGGACCAAGGACGAACGAAGCACTAGGGAATCTCGATGCAGATACACCTGTTCCTCCTTGTGATGTCTGCGGATACCGAACGTCTCCTCGAAGTAGGGACGCCGGTAGGACCAAGGACCAAGGACGAACGAAGCACTAGGGAATCTCGATGCAGATACACCTGTTCCTCCTTGTGATGTCTGCGGATACCGAACGTCTCCTCGAAGTAGGGACGCCGGTAGGACCAAGGACCAAGGACGAACGAAGCACTAGGGAATCTCGATGCAGATACACCTGTTCCTCCTTGTGATGTCTGCGGATACCGAACGTCTCCTCGAAGTAGGGACGCCGGTAGGACCAAGGACCAAGAACGAACGAAGATCACCTCCTTAAAAAAAAAAAAAAAAAAAAAAGAAAAAAAAAAAAAAGAAAAAAAAAAAAAAATGGGGAGAAGAGGAGAGAAGCTCCTACACGGAAGGGAATCTTGCCCGGGTGTGCCAGATCTTCCCCCACCGCCGAAGGCGAACGCCTCTCGATGAAGAGGTTAGTAGAGACGTGGAGGGGGCTAGACGAACCAAGGGAGCCTGCCAAGATAAACCTGTTTATCCCACAAATGACCATGGATCGATGGACGTGGGATAACGAAGACGGGAACCCGTGAGGGTAAACCTGTTCGTCCCTGCGAGTCCCTTGGGTACCGAACGTCTTCTTCGAAGCAAGAGACGCCGGTAAGACTAAAAGGGCCACGGACGAACGAAGAAGGGGGGAATCTCGATGTAGATAAACCTGTTCTTCCTTGCGACGTCTGCGGATACCGAACGTCTCCTCGATGTAGGGACGCCGGTAGGACCAAGGACCAAGGACGAACGAAGACCAAAAGACTCCAAAAAAGACTCCAAAAAAAAAAAAAAAGACTCCAGACGAGCATGGAGCAAAGAATGATTTTTATTCCTCGGCACTATTGACCGGAAAATTACAATGTATTAGAGTACAACACAAATAATGAAAAATTGTATGAGTACAAGATGATGAGCAGAGAATCACGGCAGATCGGCGTCCGGAGCTGGAGCTTGGGAAGGGGCCTGCTTGGATTTGTCACTAGCTGCGGCTTCCTCCTGCTCCTTCAGCAGCTCAAGGGCCCCTGCATGAGCGTCTGCCATCAAGACGTCGAAACCAGCCGCCTCCGGATCAAAGGGAGCCCCAAAGTGACGCTCAAACGTCGGGAGATTCTCCGCCACTAGCCCAACCATACCTTTGCGGTAGGTGTCATCGGCGAGATCGTCAAGGAAACGACGTCCGGTGGGGGTGGCCTGGAGCAATTTTACCCCATCCTGATAGGCATCCGGGCAGGTGGCCAGGAACTCGCCAACAAGCCGCGGGAGGAACTTCATAGCCATGGTGTGGATGGCGCCAGTATAAGCCTTGGATTTCTGAAAGGCAATGGAACCAGACTCCTTGATTTTGGCAACATCGGCCTCATAAATAGGGACGTGATTGTCCACGCCCGTCTGGCGGAGTTCCACCTTGGCCTGCTCTACGGCCCACATCCGGCTGCGAAGATCCACGAGCTCGGCCTCCTGCTTCTTGAGGAGCTCCTTCTGAGAGGCATTCTCCAAGACGAGCTTATCGTAGGCATCGGCTTTCCCTTGAAGAGTGCCAGCCCTGCCTTTTGCACTCCTCAGAAGGGCGTCGCTTTCGGCCCGCACCCTGGCCATTTCCCTGCCTTGGTGCTCGAAGGCCATCCGGGCCCTGTGGAAGTAGAGCCCGGCCTTGTCCAAAGTGCTCTGGCCACACTCCAGAAGGTCTTCGGGTGCCTCCTGAGCGGCAAAATCCTGGGGGACCTTGAGATTCAGGCCGCACCATATAGAGGATGCTGTTAGACCAAAGAGCATCATTGACTCCTTGCGCGGGCCAACCCCGGAAAATTCAATCAAACCAAGGGAGGACCCATTGGCTTCCGGGGGCGAAGGGGGACGAGCATCGTCAGAATCCTTGGCCGTCTGGGCATCATCATCCCGGAGACGACGGACATCAGAAGTTCGTGGGGGAGAAGGACGGGACTTGATCCGAGGAACAGGTTTCCGCTTGAGGGGACTCCCGGGTTCCCCATCAGAGTCATCGGCCACTATGATAGCCTTGGAGGCAGTGCCCTCGACGCGCGGTTTCTTGGAGGCGCCGGCTCCCAAATCATCCTCAGTCCGGGCCCTGGTCACCCGAGTTTCGGCCTTGGGGACGAGCGGCTCCCCGGGCTTGTCATGCCCCTTATGTCCACGACCGGCGACAGACGAGGCGGTATTATCTCGGCGCATGGTGGACGTGGGTGGAAAAACTCCTGCATGAAGGGAATCAAGATGTTCAGAACCATAACAGCAAAGAGAGGTTAAAACAATGCAAGTACAAACGGACGCACCTAATCCAGCCTGAGCTTTAAAGGGCTCGGCCACCAGCAACCGGAGGTTCTGGATGCCAAGTCCGGCTATGCGTTTGGCATACCCAAGATCCTCGTCCGTCATGGGCGGCGGAATCGTCTTCACGGGGTAGGCATTCCACCGATCAGAAAATGGCATCGGTGAGCCTACTCCGGCCAGGAAGAAGCGCTCTTCCCAACCGTCTGGGTTCCCAGCGTTGTTCGAGAAGAGAACCATGGACGGACGGGCGACCAGGGTCAAATACCCCGTACGTCCGAAGGTGGACAGACGGAAGAAGTGGTGCAGCAGGTCCACGGTGGGGGTCACACCGACGCTGTGGCATCTAATGATGAAGCCAGCGATTATCCTATAAGCGGCAGGGACGAGCTGCGCGGGCACAATCTCGAGGGCCCTGAAGAGTTCCAAGTGGAAGCTGTGCAAAGGGAAATTCAGCCCGGCTATCACCGAATCTAGGTGGACCACCACATAGCCGGGCAGATGACGCATGGGATTTCGTAGACGCCGATCGTCGTAGGTCCTTGGGGGATAAAACCATTGACTGATCAGTCGCTTGTCGGCGTTCGTCAGGCGTTGAACTTGACGCCGGACGCACGAGAAGTTGAGACTATAACGGGGAGGCCGGGGTGGCATTCCCCGCTCGTAATACTCCAGGTCGTCACCGGAAGAACACCCGTCATCAAAGCGACTTTCGGAAGACATGACAACGAACGGTACCTTGGGGTTCGAGATTTCCGATACGACCAAAAGAGAAGTCTAGAGAGAGAAGGCAATTGTGCAGCGTAAGGAGAAGTGTGAGTGGATCGCTTGGGTACTGAGTATTTATAGGCAACACCGCGGAATTGCCCCAACCAAAACAGGACACGTGGCGCCTGGGTACCGGTACCTACCACAATATTTAAGGCGTCTCGATTTTGTCGCCGCATAACCAACACAAGACATCCGGGTCCGTGCCACGAACGTCCCTTGAGGAGGGGTCACCGGCTCGGAGGAATTTGAAGACATTCGCCTTTCCCTTGCTTCCTTAACTCCCCGGCTGACCTTAGCGTCGGCGGCTGATGAGGGCACACGCATCGACCGGCTGCGTCCGTCTTGCGGTACTCCAGTTTTCACGACACGCGACTGTAGACGAACGTCGTCACCAAGTACTGTTTCAGTGAAATACGCCCATATGTCCATACTCAAGACGCATACTGACAAGACAGCTACCGACGCACGTCTTCCCATTGTCAGGATACCGCGGGGGCGGTAAAGATGTGTCGAGGCGCCGGAAGGATTCCTTATACTACAAACAATGGACACAAAAAGGATGAAGGAAAAATCACGTCCATTAGCGGTGCACGGAGGATGAACGTCGCCTTTCCACACTTCATACCAGATGAACACGCAGAACAGACGAACGCCCCGCGCATGGGTTGAATGTTCATACCACGCGACGACGGACGGACGTCGTTATCAGGTGCTGGTGCTGAGAAATACGTTCCTATGTCTACACTTCGAGCATGCACCATAAACCGCCGACGAGCGTCGCTCCATTATCAGAACACTTTGAGTACGTACGGAGGTTTGACTTCAGGACGCTTTTGCCTGGAAGCAAGTAGGGGACAGACACGAACGTCCTCTCGGACTCTGACCTTGCTACAAGGCGTGTCGGGCCGCCGAAGAAGTTTCCATACAACAAAGGACAAAGGGAAGGAAAATAACAAGTAGAAATCATGAACATGGAACAACTATGGGCAAAAGGGCGTCTGTATTCTTCGGCTCTGACGGCCGGACATTACAAAAGTTAGAATGGAAAAGTACAAATTACATTATACAAAGAAAGGTGATTCCGGTCGGCTGCCACCCTGGTTCAGCTCCTCCTCTTCTTCCTCGGGCTCGGGGGACGGGGGTTCCGGAATTTCCCCTCTAGCCTTGGCTTCCTCCCGCCGCTGGTCCCTCACCAGTTTCCCTAGAGCCTGGAGCAGCAGATCGTCGTCTGTATGCGCTGCCAGCTCGAAGTCGGCCCCTTGCAGCCTCGAAAAGATGGGGAGGGTGGCCTTAACCCCTTCGTTATACCCGGCTGAGAAGGTGCTGTCACCGACCTCGTACAGGAACTTGCGGGACAGAGGAGAACCCTCAAGCAGCCGGACGCCGCGGGCCAGACGCTGGCGGGGCGGTATTTTCTCCAGAGCCGCGGCAAACAAGTCGGCGAAGACTCCGGCACAATAATCTTTGGCAGAGTCCATGAACTCCCCAGTGTTCCGGTAGCCGGAGGTATCAACCAGCCACTCCGGACTCGCATCCTTCGCGACAGGGTGCACCGGGACAAGCTTGAAGCCAGCTTTCTCAAGGCTGACTAGCTGCTGGCGGGATTCTGCCCGCAGGGCGGCGATCTCCTTCCCCTTGGCCGTAGCCTCTGCCTCAGCTCGGCGAGCGGCCTCTCGAGCCGCAGTGATGGCCGCATCAGCTTTAGCTTTGGCCTCCTTCAGATCGGCCTCCCTGGCAGCTTCAGCCTGAAGGACTAGAAGCCCAGACTGGATGACAGAAGAAAAAATAAGGATCAGGGGATGAACGTCAAGGAAAAAATATATATACTCAGATCTAGCAAGGAGGAATTACCTGAAGAGCGGCTGCCAGGGCAGCGCTTGTCGCCTCGGAGGACGAACGGCTGGGCAGCTCTAGGCCAGCCTTGAGGGCCATCTCCCTCCAAAGCTCTTCCGCCGGGCGGCTCAATGGCAAGGAGCCGGCATCTTCAAGCAGGGGCCCGGTGGAGCCTGCCTCGCGGCCCCTCTTTTGTTTCTTTTCGGGGACCTTCTCCGTCCCCTTTTGAGGAGCCGCCTTCGACGGGACGACCGGCGGTGGAAGTGCAGCTTCAAGGGCGGGGGCCCCAGAACCCTGAGCCAGCATAGTGGCAATCAGGTGCTGCTCACCCTCGGCAGTTCGCCGGGCAGCGTCAGAAGCCGAGGAGTTGGACTCCGAGGCGGGGGCACTCTTGGCTTTCGCCAGTGCGGCTTTAGCAGCGGCCGCCTTGGCCTTCCTTGTCTTCAGGCACTCGGCGTGGTTCATTTGATCTCTGTCTGGCGGAGAACCTGC